AATCTCCATAGACTTTTTAAATTGATCTTTTTATTGAGATGAGATTAATTGCTCTTATAAAGAATAATGTAGAGATCTTGTTTTCCTTTTACCCAGTTTTCCCAATGGTAACATTTTGCAAAACTGGTGTATCACAACCAGAATATATATTCACATCAACACAGTCCATCACATTCAGATTTTCCCAGTTTTGTACTCATTTGGGGAGTGCATTTAGGTCCATATAGTTTTATCACATATATCCACTATGATAGAAAAGATGCAAAACAGCTCAATAACCATAAGAACCCTTTCTCCTGGTACTTAATAGACACCTACCTCCCCCTTGGCCTGGAAACCACTCACCTGTTCTCCATTTCTATAATTTTGTCATCTCAAAAGTGTTATGTAATTGGAATAATAAATATGTTACTTCAGGATTAGTATTTTTCATTCAGCATAATTCCTCGAGGGTTCATGCAGGTTATCAATAGTTTGTTCCTATTTATTGTTGCCTGGTATTCTACGACAACTGTGTACCAAAGTTTAACCATTGAGTAAAGGAAATGAATGTTTTTTACAGTTTGGAGCTATTGCAAATATAGCTGCTAAGAACATCCATATACAAGTTTTTCTGTAAACATATGTTTTATTTCTCTGGGATAAATGACCATATGTAAATTGCTGGGTAGTGTGGTAGTTGCATGTTTAGTTTTATAAGGAATGGCCAAACTTTTCCTCAGAATGGCTGGCTATACTGTGTTCCATTTTTACCAGAGCAATCCAATTTCTAGGCATTCTCACTAGCATTTTATGTAGTCACTATTTTTTATTTCATCATTGGTATAGATGTATCATGATAGCTAATTTGGATTTCCCTAACAACTAATGAACTACACTGAGTGGCCAGATTATTATGAACACATAATAATCTGGCCACTCAGTCTAGACCAGTGGTCGACAAACTGCAGCTCATGAGCCACATGTGGCTCTTCCACAAAATTCCACTTGTGGGCGCACACCTACAGTGTGATTGAAACTTCGTGGCCCATGAGCAAAAGTCAGTTTTCGGCTCTCAAAAGAAATTTCAATCGTTGTACTGTTAATATTTGGATCTGTTGACTAGTGAGTTTGCCAACCACTGGAGTTGGGATTTTAAAATAAGGTTTTTTTCATGTATAAGAACTGCATTGTAGGAAGTTAGAAAACTACCACAGAGTTGGGATTTTAAAATAAGGTTTTTTTTCATGTATAAGAACTGCATTGTGGGTAGTTAGAAAGAAGCAGAGGATTTACTAGCCAGAGGCTGGGGGCCACTATTTCCTGATCCCTTGACATAGTAAGATTTGCAAGCTTTCCCTTATACATAAGTACACTGAGTGGCCAGATTATTATGCATTCAGAGATCATCATGATCTGGCCACTCAGTGTATATATTTATAGTAAGTTGCATATATCCTACCTTTTACCACCTAATATTTAGTGTATTTTTTCCTAAGAACAAGGATATTTTCTTAAATAACCACAGTGTAATTATTTTATTTAGGAAACTTAACATAAATATAGTACTTTAATGTAAGTTCCATATTCCGATTTTGTCAACTGTCTTAATAATGTTCCTATAACATTTTTGTTCCTTCCATAGAAAACACATGGTATTTAGCTGTCATGTGCTTATTTTCCTTTAATCTAGAGCAGTTTCTCTTTTATGACAGACATATTGAAGGAGTACTGGCTCCCTTCCTTCCCGTTTTAGTAGCTGAACTGCTGTTATATGAGAAATATGCCATTGTTTCTTTTGTTACTTTTTTAAAAATTCTAAAATCCCATGTAGTTCAGAACAGTGTTAAGCATAAATTTTTATTAATGATTAGTAAAACTATGTATATAATAACAATGTAATTTCATATTTCAAAGTATGCCTTGGTGTTCTTCATAAAGGATACAGTTTTTATATCATCAGGAAGACTAAAGTTCGTAATATGAGGCAACTGTTTGAGATGCCAATTAGTGATTAAATAATTTGAATTTGGAATTTTTAATGAAATGATTCAAAGATATTTTAAAAAGTTACTAATAAAATTTTTTATGTTTGGTTGCCAACCATACTACTTTTTAGATAATACTATTTGTAAACTTATAATTATCTACTTGTAAGGTAGCAACCATAATAAAGTACATAGTAGTTTGAAAGGACTAGTACTAATACATATTTAATTTTACTCTGCTCTCCCAAATTATTAGTTGTTGTAAGTTAAACAGAAATGCATTTATACTCATTTTTGCTTGGTCTATTTTAAATGCTTGTGGAAAACAAGCCTGATAGTTTTATGATGGGAATTTTGGTCTGTATTTCCCAAAATAACTTCAAATATATCTTCAGAAGTTTTAGTTGTTAAGTGGCCTTGGTGTTTCCCTTCTCTCTCCCCTTCTTCCTTCCTTCTCCTCCCCCCACCTCCCCAATCAAATACTCTAGTATTTCTTTTAGAAGGAAAAAAAAAAAAAAAACATTGGGGAGGGGGTGTATCAGATTTTAATGTTTATGCTAATTATAGGTTCACTTTCTTAATTTTAGACTTTATCTTTTCATAATTAACATCTATTCAACCTCAATAAAAGAAAGAAAAAACATTGTTCTGTCAGTACTTGATGGAAAGACTTTAAGATCTCATTAAAATATTTATGGTTCCAAAAGTATAAATGTAGCTAGAAAATAATTTAAACTGGTATGTCTTACCCAACTCAGGTCTGTTAAGATCTGTATTAGAATGCAAAGCTATTCTTTCAAATATCCTTACATAGTTGTACTTTTCATCCTTCATTTTTATAGTCACTTCCCAAGGCTGCCTGCAGCCAGTCTATTTGTAGCAATTATATTCTATTCAAACCTAGTCATGACTGTTGGTATGTCAAAGTCTGAAAAAAAAAATTTTATACAGTCATAAACATTAGAGTGCTTTTGAATCTGTTATTGCTTTTTTTTCTAGTTTTGAGATTTTTCATCATACGTTAATATTTTTTAGTTTCTAATCCTATATAATAAGGAGGTGAGATGCAAATTGACCCTCACTCCAACACACTAGATGGCCGGCAGGGGAAGGCAGTTAGGGGCAACCAGACCTGCAAGGGAGGGCATTTGGGGGCAACAAGGTTAGAAAGAGAGGGCAGTTAGGAATGATTGGGCCAGCAAGGGAGGGAAGTTAGGGGCAACTAGGCCTGGAGGGGAGGACTGTAAGGGGTGACTGGGCCTGAAGGGAAGATAGGAGAGGCAGTTAGGGGCAATCTGGCCAGCAGGAGAGCAGTTAGGCGTCAATCAGGCTGGCAGAGTAGTGGTTAGGGGATGATTAGGCTGACAGGCAGAAGCGATTAGGGGCAATCAGGCAGGCAGGCAAGTGTGCATTTGGAAGCCAGCAGTCCTGTATTGTGAGAGGGATGTCCGACTGCCCATTTAGGCCCTATCTCACTACCAGGATCAGGCCTAAATGGGCTGTCGGACATCCTTTGAGGGGTTCCAGATTGGAGAAGGTGCAGGCTGAACGGAAGGACACACACACACACACACACAGGAGTTTCATGCACAGGCCTCTAGTAAATAAAAATACTTCATTTCTAATCCCAGCACACTTGTACTTTCAAGTGAACTTGAACAAAAATTCAAAAAGTTCTAGTATTATTCTGATTCTAAAACATGACTCCTTGGTTTGTTTTTATTTGTTAACAAGCCACATCCTTAATGGATCTTACAAGTTATTGATGTCATATTACTTGGGCAACATATTCTTTCATAGTTATTCCTGTTGTGTCAGTCTTATATAAAACATTCTCTTTATAGTTGCTATTTAATCTATGCTTATCTTTATATTAATTTAATGTAAAATATTTTGGGTAGAAATGAGGGCAGAGCCACTGATCCACTTTTCATTTTTACTCTCTAATTTATAAATGTTTTTCAAAGTTAACCATGGAGGGAGGTCTGATGAAATTTACATACTACCAGAAGAGGTATATTCAACTATTAATTAGGATTACTTAGAGATCTATTTCAAGTTTAACAACTGTATATACAGAATAATTTTCAGATAATATTTGTAATGGCTGTGGCATTTGCCTTTAGTAGAGTCTTGACAGACTTTAATTACTTATCTTGTACTGTTTCTTTTTATGCATTGGGATTATTCTGGTTCAACACGGCATTTGAATCTAACAATGTGGTAACTCTGGAAATCAGATTATCTCGTTTCCCCATGGTTTGCTGTTTTTGTTACTACATTATTATTATTATTTGTCTCTGTGCCAAGGATCAGAATAAGATGACCTTAATGTCTTCTTACGTATTTTCTGAGTCTTTCCCTGGGTATGCATAGTCACTTTATAATTTCCCCCATATATGTTGTTCTTTTTGCATTTAATGTCTGGCTCTCAGAATGAGAAAAGTAAAAAAAATGGCAGCTAAAATAGGGTGCTGACCCTTTAAATACCCTGGAAGTCACTCCATTCTGATGAGAAATAACTTGCAGCAATGAGGGAGGTACATCAGTGTACCTCTTTGTCTTTACCTCTGTGATCAGAAGCAGCAGTCAGTGATAAGAGCACAGATATCTGCTAGTTGTAGGACAGGATTCCCTGGCTCCCAGGATTTGTGCACTTGCTGCTCCAGGAACCACTCCCACAACTCCCAGAAATTAAGCACAATTTACTGCCCATGCATTCTCCTTTAAATTGCAAACTTTCAACAGATTCCAGACTTCCAACATAGTTCTATCAGACAGATTTTGCCAATGCACTTGTTGTTTAGGTAGGAGGGCAGGTTCCTGGTTCTTTGCCATCGTCTTAGTTCCATCTTAATTTCTGTGTGGAATAACTTTGTCAAGTAGATTAAGTAGCAAGACCTCCGAATTAATATAGGGCCGAAATAATCATTAAAATATAATAGCTCTTTTCTTCAGTTTGTATTTAAGCGTTACATTAGTTATTAATACATTTGACACATATAGTAATTTTTGCTATTTAACTTTTAACAGGTGGTTTTGGAATGTATGCTTAAAAAAGACCTCATTTACAATAAGGTCACTCCAACATTTCACCACTGGAAGATTGAAGACAAGAAATTTGGCCTTACCTTTCAAAGTCCTGCTGATGCTAGGGCTTTTGATAGAGGTATTCGAAGAGCTATAGAGGATATTTCTCAAGGTAAGTTTTTCTAACATTTTCTTAATTTGTTCATCAGTTATCTGTTATAAAGTAAAGTAGAGTTACTTTAAGCAAGTCAGCTTTTGTGATATGTGACCAGACTTTGAAAATTCACTGTAGGTAAAGTAGATAAAATAATGGGCTCCTTAGTCTGTTTCAGATTTGTTACATCACAATATATGCCAATTAAATTTATTACCTTGAAGAACCCATCAGTATTTCTGTTCAGATTATTATGATTTCTTTCAGATGATTTCAAATAAGAGGTTGAGGAGAGCAGTAAGTTACAACTTTTAAAATCCTTGTGTATATGTTGTATCAGTCATATAACATATGTTATATCAGTCATATTCTTGTTTTGGTAATGATAAAGATAAAATTTCTAATAATCAAATATAGGTATATTCCAGTTATTCTATGTCAGAACCTCCCCCCCTTTTTTTTTTGAAAGAGAAATGCTTTAAAATATATATATAATTGATTTTTTACAGAGAGGAAGGGAGAGGGATAGAGAGTTAGAAACATCTATCAGCTGCCTACTGCACACTTCCTACTGGGGATGTCCCCGCAACCAAGGTACATGCCCTTGACCAGAATCGAACCTGGGACCCTTGAGTCCGCAGCTGGTGCTCTGTCCACTGAGCCAAACCGGTTAGGGCAGAACCTTTTCTTTTTACCTGATTTTATTATTGAGCATTGACAGATACCACAACCCCATCTATCCCTTTGTAATCTTTCTAGTCTCTTAAAATTATTAACTCTAAAGCTTGTACAAGCTTGCAGGTTTTAAAAAGAGGGAGATTATACATACATGTAAAACTGGCCTCTGCTTAATTAAACAAAGAAATCACATTAAAACTAACTTCTCCCCCTAAAAAAGTTAAAACTTGATTTGTTTTTCTAATTAAGAAGGAATATCATGTCTATTAACAGAATGGCTTCTGTATAAGGTAACTTCATCAATATTAGGCAACTTAGTTATTTGCATATTTTGAATATTAGAAGAAATTAACTAATTAGGAAATAGACCATAGGCAAGAACATGGAAAAGCCTAGTGTAAATTGTATTAATAGTGCATGAAACTGTGGTAAATTAATATATTTAGCTACTTTAAATATTAGAGTTTGTTAAGCAAGTAATCTTTGATTTCCAATTCAGAAAGAAATTCTATGAGATGATAGCAATTATTTTCATAACCAGATCCCATAAATTATTTTTATATCAGTGTTCTTGATGTTGGCTGCATGTTAGAATTACCTGGGAGGCTTTTGAGAAATAGAATGACTAGTTCTGACTCTAGGTCACTTGAATCAAACTATTTGGGGAGTGGTGCTGAGGCATTATATTATATATATTTACTTATTTTTAAGTTCCTAGACATTTCAGATGTGATAAGGAATTGTTATCCTAGCTGAATGAGTATATTATGAATTTACAAAAACAAGTGAATATGGGTCCTCAGATTCTCTAGCAGATGTGGCTCTCAAACCACTACAAGAAACTTAAAAATAAAAATGCATGGTACTCTCATGACTCACCTAACAGACATTTCTGACATTATTGGTTTGGTACTGAACTCTAGTATCAGTTTCCCAGTTGATTTTGCTGTTTTAGCTAATGTTGAAGAACCAGTGCTTGAAAGAGAAAATCATTATCTATGGGTGTTAAATTTATATGATTTATGTTTAAGTTTTGAATTATTTTGAAGTCTATACTTATGTCCCCATAAGAACATACTTTCACTAGGATCAAATAGATTGAGTTTAATGTTCAAAAAGACAGTTTATAAGGAGAAGTTTACAAACTCCTAGCCTGGTAGAATAGACTGCTGCTGCTGTATTCAGTCGATCTTGTTATTTGTAAACCATACTTTAAATATACTGGTTAGCCTTATTACCGGTTATTATATAGACTTTGAACAATCTCATTAAATTTCTCTTATTAGCCTTCTATGACAATAAGGAAAAAATTATTGCAACTCTTTTCAAAGGGCATATTTCTCATCTCCATGCTAGCTATATCTCAAGGCAAGCAGAAACTCAGAATTCATTGCTAGGAGAAACCCCTCTTTATGAATTTGTTGGAACCAAAGGCTCTCTTGAACATGATTAAAATGTATACAGAGACATTGATGCATAACGGTCAATGGCAACAACTGGCCATTGACTATCTATAGTGAATAAAGGCTCACTTATTTTTCTTACTGTAGCAACTAAAATCCTACTTCTGGGTACTGAATACTGTTCCTGGGTCAGAGTATTTAGGAAGATTGAGGAGATCACACATGGACATTATCTAATACTAGAGGAGTGTGGTTCACATAGTTTACCTAGGTGTTTGAGAAATCAGGAGCAGGACTTGCTGTGAATAATACACTTTTCACATACAGTAAAACATCTCTGTAAGTCATTGGGGATTTACCTGCAAGAAAGGAAAACAAATCACTTTATTCTCTATTCTTTTAATAAAGGGGCAAGTATGAGTGGCCCACTTCAGATTGGTTGCCAGGCAGCCTAGAATGATCTCTGATCAGTCTCCTGTAGTATTGTAAATGACAAAATCAATTAGTCAATAATACTAAAATCTAAGACAAAAATGTTATGTTTAATTAAACTTTTACCTGTTTTCTTAGGATGCCCAGCATTAAAAAATGAAACTGAAGGAGCAGATGATGACTTACAAGTAAGTAGTTGGCTTGAAAGAAATTTTTAAACCTAAAGGATATAGAGCAGAGTGGGGAATGTCCGGCCTCTGGGCTATGTAAGGCCCTCGAGATCATTTGGTCTGGCCCTGCCAAGGCATTAGGGGTGAGTTAATTAAATGTTTGGCCAAATATTTTAAATTGATGATTTTGTATGGCCTGCAAATGATGTCATCAATATCCAAATGGCCCATGTTAGAAAAAAGGTTCCCCACCCCTGAAATAGAGGAAATAACTAGCCTTAATAAATAACTTGTAAGTTTTTAAGAAACTTTCTAAGACACTGTATTTGCCAGCAAGTACAAAGAAGCTAGAATAAATAGTATGTGTACATGTATTATGTACATATTATATAGAGAATATGTTCAGAGATCATAATCTGACCATTCAGTGTATATGTATTATTGTATTATTATATTATAATCTGTTTTTTTCCACTTAAATTACTAATGTTTTTTGTTCTAAATATGTTTTCAAGTTTAATTTTTAATGGTTTTGTTTTATGTAATTTGTTTATATTAGAAGTATCTTAATTACTAGTTCCCCTATTGTACATAAAGAGTTTTTATGTGTTTAAATATTTGAATCTGTTTATTTTATTGATGGTTAATTATTACTTAAAAAATACAGTGAGTTGGAATTAATTAGGTATAAGAAACAAGTAATAAAACGCAAAATAAATACAAGGTTCCATTTTGTTCTAGTTTCTATGGGAAAATATGGGACTAGAAATGGGGAAATATGTTCTAAATTTCTTCCTATGATGAAAGTAAATTTGGTTAAAGTTCACCTTAAAAACGTGGGCAAAAAGATGTAGACATCATTCATTCATAGGGTTGCCAGAAGTTGAGTCAACTGAATGACATAACACACATTAAAAGATTTAAATGTCACTCACTCATTCATAGGATCGCCAGGAGTTGGAGCCAACTCAGTGGCATATAACACACATACAAAAAAAGCAGGGGAGAGATACTGAGAAGCTACTAAATATGTGAAGTAAATTTTTCTGGACATTCTATTTGAAAAATGTTAAGAAGAATCAACATCCAGAATTAAAACTACCAAAGAAGACTCTTAACTTTACCTTATTATTTCATGATATGCCAAAATTTTTGCATATCATTCTTATTTTGGAATAAGATATTGGAAGTATAAAGTATTCAAATTAATTTAACTCAGCAATTTTTAATCTTTTTCAATTCATTGCACATATAAGCTAATTACTAAAATTCAGCCCACCAAAAATGTAATATTTATTTATTTATTTATTGCTGATGTGCCAGAAATATAGGTGTAATTTTGGTTTATTTACATCGGATGGCTATTATTGTGTTTGCTGTCATCATTTTTTAATTTGATATTCTACAGGGAAAGAGAGAGAGAATCAATGATTAGCTCCCTCCTGCACACCCTTTTCTGGAAACCGAGCCCGAAATCTGGGCATGTCCCCTGACTAGGAATTGAACCTGTTTCGTAGGTCAACGCTCAACCATTGAGTCACATTGGTGGGGCAAAGTCGGCTTTTTAACTATTTTATTTGGGTAAAGTGCATCTTGTTTCATAACTCACCTATGGACCCTGCATAAACATTTTGAAATTATTTTGAGTACAAATTGACTGATTTATGGTAGTAATGTCAGGTTTATTTTATTGGTCATTATTTGCAAAAATAACCATAATGGTTTTAAGAGAGTAACTCATTACCTAAGTTTTTAAGCCTAGAGGAGGCAATAATTGTTATTTAGATCAGACTTGAGGTAGTAAAAGGAAAAGATCTCAGATTTCATGCTTTGGGCAAATAGAAAGATGATACCTAACTAATATGAAATGAAAAGTCAAATCTTTTCTTTCTGCTACTGAGAAGTATTTGACTAACCTTTTTTATAATTGGGTAATGTCATTTCTGAGTGAAAATGATTAAAAGTTTTGTGATTTATATTGTTTAAAGTTATTATGTTATAGGCTAGGATGATATAAATTGTTCGTATACTAATTTTCAAAGTTGGTACTGTTTTAAAAAGCCTCTCTATCTGAAAACTAAGTTAATAGATAGGTTTATTTAGTTGGGCCTTTTTTAAAATTCTTTCATGTTGTATTTAAATATATACTTTTTTAAAAAAGCACTATCAGGATCAATTTTGTCCATTTTGATTTTTTGTTAGGATTTTTGTTTGAATTGGGGATGGTGGTGGTTGGAATTCAAGTAGCATAAATCATAAAATGTGAACCCACATGGTCTGACTTCACAGTCTTTGAATTTTAACCCTTATATCATGTAACAGTGCTACTAATTATTTAACCATTCACATTCCATTCAACATTTATTTTATTTTCCACAGCCTTTTACATTAATTTTTGTTGGCATTTTTGAATGTGATGTTTAGATTAGATTTGATTCTAGAAATAGATTTGTCATTTAGAGGATTGTATAAAGACATATAATTATCAGGAACTATGTAACTATTGCCTAGTAACTCAGATTTGCAGACAATAAACAATCTCTGAAAAATCTAATACCATTTTTAAGTCAAACTAAAGTTTCCTTAGGAAGGTAGTTTAGTTTTTTTGCTTATTAATTTAGGGTGGAGAACTTGTTTTTCTTTTCTATTTTTGCTGAGCATTATATATTGGTACATTTCTCATATTTCTTTCATATTATTTCATCACTGATTACTGTATTTAGGTTGCCTAAACAATATACTATATATGCTATTGATGTTTTCAGACAAAACTCATAGACAAATGCAAAATTTAAAACTCAAGGTTTATTCTTAAATTAATCAAATGTAAACTAAGAAATCTAATGAAAATAGGAGACAATTATGGTCAGGTCTGAAATGAATTTTATTGGATGCTACTCCAAAACTTTAATAGTGGTTTTGTTAAGTTCATGGAATTATTAATCATTTTTTCTGTATTCTGTGCTAAGTTTGCATAATTTGAGTATATAATTTTAAATGCCAAAAATAACTTTGGTAGCATTTTCAGTATATGCAGTATTAAAATATAAAATTTCTTTATTGAAGAACATTTAAAATTTTTTGATCATTCTAAAGTAAACGAATTGTATAATCATTCAAAACATCTATTGTTGGATATGGCTCAGCCACACCTTTTGAAACCTGTGACTTGTGATATATAAAAAGGGAGTTTTTGAGCAATAAATAGACTGTAATATTTACTTTCTCATACTTAATTGGTTATTTATGGGGAAACATAACTTCAAAAAGGCTTGCAGAGCAACACCTAAGTTTTCTCTGCTTCAGGATTACTACAGGAAGAAGAGCAGAGGTGGAGAGAATCAAATTTTGTTTTTATTTTCGTCACAGCTGTCATCTAGCCTTGTGATCTAGTAGAGAGCTACAGCCAAATTGTTTTTTTCGCTTTACCTGGCATCCTTTTGCCTCTACACACACAATTGCTGTAGTAGTCTTGGAAAAAGAAAAAGTTAAACAATCTCTTAGCAACCTTAGGAGAATAATTACTATACCAGCCTCTGAGAGTGAAAACATTAAAGTTGGCATGGGTTACTCTATAGTTAATACAGATGAGTCCATGCCAACACAATACTAAAAGCATTGAATGTGGATATAAATATATCTTCCCTCTATCATTTTAAATGCTGAAGATCATGCAACTGCATGTATAGTTCCTGTGCATATAATGTATTACATTTTCTAGTCTTGTGGAATATTTTTGGCATTTCTCAACACCTAACTTTAGATTATGTCCATGTTCCTGTAGTAGCCTTTTTTAAGGAATTATAATCCAGTAAAAACAAACAAACATTCAAACTTAACTAAACCTGAACACTTTTTACTCATTTGTATACAAATTAAAGTGTTTTGGTTATTGCTAATTTTACTTATGAAAATGGTACAGATAATCTTTTTGGAAAATAACACTAAAAGTGTTTTTTCTTAATTGGTTGGAAAAGATTGGTGAATGATACTGCTCAGTGTAAGCAGAGACGTGAGGAAATGGTTCTTCTTTTATATATGCAATTCTCTTTGTAATGTAATTGGAATATATGCATGTCCTTTAGTCGATAATCTTATTTATAAAAATTGATCCTAAAGAAATAATACTACCAGTCCACCAAGATGTATTTATAAGGAGGTGTGCATTGCTATGTATGTATAAAATATTGGAAGCAATCTAATGCCCATATGTAGAGTATTGTCTATGGAATATCTTATATAATAAAAGAGAAACATGTAATTTGACTGTACCTCTGCTATGCTAATCAGCCAATGAAGTGTGAATATGCAAATTAATGCAACAAAGTTGGAGGGTTAATTGCAAGAGCTGGCAGAGAGTAGAGAAGCTTGGAGGACTTGGCAGAGCAGGAGGCCATGGGACAGAGACAGAGGAAGAAGGGAAAACCCAGAGTGTGGGGAGCATCAGGAATGCTGGGAATCGTAGTTCTGGTGGCAGACGGATCTCCTAGACCAGTGTTTGGCAAACTCATTAGTCAACAAAGCCAAATATCAACAGTAAAATGATTGAAATTTCTTTTGAGAGCCAAATTTTTTAAACTTAAACTTCTAATGCCACTTCTTCAAAATAGACTTTCCCAGGGGGTATTTTGTGGAAGAGCCACACTCAAGGGACCCAAGAACCGCATATGGCTCACAAGCCGCAGTTTGTCAACCATAGTCTAGACACTAGAGCAAAGTTAGCCTGGAGCAACTTACTGTTGTGATGGGGGATTGAAGGAAAGCAAAGGTGAGAGACATAAGTAAAGTCAGAATGTCTAGGAAAAATTAAAGGAAAATATCCTAAAACTTCCAGGAAATCTCCACCAATGAAGGAAAAAAAAAAAAAAAGCCTCTATTATTGTGTTGGGGTCTAAGACAATTCACTCATATGGTTGCAAAGATAGAAACTCCCAGATTGGAGAGGGCTCCCCTTGGGGGGTCCCAGATTGGAGAGAGTGCAGGTCAGACTGAGGGATTTCCCCCCTCCAATCCCGCACCCCCCCCCCGGCCTCTATTATAATATATAAAAATACTGAACTTCTTTGTAACCATTTCAAAGCACTTGTACATATTTATATATTGATATGGGAAAAGATTTATGATAAATTATAAAGTAAAAAAGGTACTACGTAGACTCATATATAAATGGAATCAATTTATGCATAGGGATTAAACATACTTGCATTTAAAATTCTAGAAAGATGTAATAATAGCTATGCCCATATGTAGGGTATTGGTACATACCTTTTTTTAAAAAAATATATATTTTTATTAATTTTGTACAGAGAGGAAGAGAGATAGAGAGTTAGAAACATCGATGAGAGAGAGTCTTCGATCAGTTGCCTCTTGCACACCCTCTACTGGGGATATGCCCGCAACCAAGGTACATGCCCTTGACCAGAATCGTACCCGGGACCTTTCAGTCCCCAAGCCGATGCTCTATCCATTGAGCCAAACCGGTTTCGGCAATACCTTTCTTTTTAACTTGCAAAAGACCACTTTAGTTATAATTAAAAGCTCATTATAATTAAATGTCTCTCTTACATGGAATGGTTAACTAGTTAACCTAATTATTCCTTAGTTATGTTCCATAAGCTTGTTCATAAAGTTGATTTTTTAAATTATTATTTTGACATGGCTTCCTAATCTTGTACATTTAAGTTTTGGGAATTGCTATTCAGAGTGTTGGTGGTACATTCTTATTGATTTGCTGAATATTTGTACTTATTAGAAAGTATCTAAGTTTTTATTGTTTTTTTATATTCTGGCAACTAATGAGTTGGGGATTGTTCCCATTAGGCAACTGCTGAAGAGAGTACTCCTAGTCCTCGAGTGAAAGATCATCTTTTCCAGCAAGAGACCGTTGTTACCAGTGAGCCTTATAGAAGCTCAAGACCATCTCCCTTTGAAGATCTGAATGCCAGAAGAGTCTACTTGCAAAGCCAAGCCAGTCAGGTGAGAAAATAAATGTTTTTCAGTATGTTATTCATTTGTATTGAAATTGGGTGTGTTAGACAAGGGTCAAGGCCATCTGCTCTTCACTAAGCAAAATAAACAGAAACAATAGAAACCTAAGAGAATATGATTTATAATGAATCAAATCCAGAATTAGATAATAAATACATAGGCAAAAAGTCATCTGCACTTAATAACTGAGCCATAAGTTTGACTTTAAACTTGTTCCTGGCTTCTCCAGATTTATTTCCTATCAATCTTTCTCACTCACAGTCTTCTAAATACTGTGATTTTCTATGTTTTATGTATTTTACTACTAAGATTCTCTATGCCTCGGTCTTTGCATTTTCTCTTCTCTGTATTTGAAACACTCTTCTTCACATCTGCACAGAGCTACCTTCTGACTTTAGGTTCCCCCCCCCTTCCTGAGCACTTTAAATAGCACCCCCTCCAGAGCTGTATTCTTACTATGCTTTATTTTTCTTGCTAACACTTTTCATGTTCTGAATTTGTATATTTGTCTCATATTTGTGCTTTTTTCTTTGTTCACTGATGTTCAGAAACCTAGAAGTTTCTGAAATAGAGTAAGCATCCAGGCAACATTTGTTGAAAGAATAAATACTAACTGCTTCACCTTGGAAACAAATGATGTTTTGACTCCGCTTATTCCTAGACTTATCATGGATTATTGGGAACTAGATTAATTTAGGATCATTTGGTTGCAAGTGATAGATCCATTCAAAATAGATTAAGAAAAGGAGACTATATTAATGACACAGATTGGCATTTCTCAGAATTTATTTTTAAGAGTAATTACAGCTAGGTGGGGTGTTTTTTTTGTGTGTTTTTTTTTTTAGATTTGAAAGGTATTAGGTAGCTTCTTTTCATACTCCCTCTCTTCTCTCTACTCTACCTACAAATACTCTACATAATCGTTTGTCTCCGATTCTCATTACACATCTGTTTCATTTTTTTTCTCTATAGGCTGGGTTCTTTTTGCCTCATCAGTTTGTAATCAATCACGACTATCAAAATATCAGGCTTATTGATCTATATTTTAGCCTCGTGTTACAGAACACTAGCAGAGACAAACACTAGACACCAAGAATTGCAGTGGCTATTATGAATGGTGCCACCTAGGAGAATAAGAAGCAAATGCTCAAAAGCCTGAACTTCCCAGTCCAGGGCTTGGAGCAGGATTTTGTGGGCATAGGGGGAACAGGTATGTGAACGAGCTGGCGAGTTATAATTGGAGGACCTTGAAGCATGGCTATTTATGGTAAGGGACGTCAACACAGGATCTTCCTAGACAGTGGACCCTCTGCTTCTGAAAGGGTTCCAGTGTTCAAGTTACTACTACCCTGTTTCCCCAAAAATAAGACAGTGTCTTATATTAATTTTTTCTCCCAAAGTTGCACTAGGTCTTATTTTCAGGGGATATCTTATCTTTCCATTTGCTAGGTCTTATTTTCGGAGGATATCTTATTTTCGGGGAAACCCGGGTATTGTCCTGGCCCTGTGGTTAGGAAAGGGGTGCGAGACTTGGCTCTGGGTGCAGCTGGAGGTCGCAGTTCTCCCATCTGCACAGGCTTTGGCTGAAGACTCGTGGTTTGGGTCTGCTGACTCTGAAAAGCAGCTTAGTATTTCATTTAACAGGATAGAATCATTTTGAGCTGGTTCTAAAGTTATATCCCTGTAGTCAGTGCCATATTCTTACAAGAAGAAAGCTGATTGACTCGGCTTAGGATAGGATGTTATAGCATATACAGCTGTCCGTTCCAGGGTTACAGGGTGGACAGATTAGGCAGAGAGGAGATAGTGATGTGCACTTGACCCAACATTGCCACTTTTAGACAGCGCTGTTCCAGTCGATCTTATAAGCTTGTGGCTTGCCTTTGTGTCCAAGGCCAGACCCTGGTTTAGTCATAGTTGTGGCTGTTTGGGAGGAGAGAGTGACTTGGCTAATCTTTACACCCTTTGAGTAAGAAGATGCATCTTGCTGCTTTGTGTAAATTGGAGTTGTAAATTTTACATTTCCTGCATAGACTTGTTATTCTGCCATTTTTCTTTAAACTCTTTTTAGACTCAAAATAGGCATTAGAGAAAAGTTACTCCCTGGATGGAAATTTCTGAGTAATGCCTTGGGTTTTAATCAGAGGCAGACCTAACTTTAATTCCTGGCTTTTTAACTTACTTAGAATTGCAAAGCTACTAATGCTCTGTGTCTTCCTGTTTCCTCGAATGTAAATAGCAATAATAATACCACTCATTCCCAAAGCGTTATTTTAGGGTTTTAAAAGGATATTCATATTCACACATATATTGATATGTATATGATAAATGTTAGAACACCTGTGTATGAGGCATCTGGTCTAAGCCCTAGGAATAGCTGTGAATGAGATAGATATGAGCCCTAGCCTCACAAAGGATATAAATGCTAGTGAGAGAGATGGACAGTAAAAATTTTAATAATCAGTAATATTTCCCAGTAATTGTAAAGAAAATAGTAGTAGGACTGAAAGGCCTATTGGCTATAGTTTAGTGAATTAAGGTGGTAGTAATACATACATGAATAGGAAAATTCATAGTACACTTAATTTATTCTACCTCTATAATTGTCTTAGGAAATTGAGAAGACTGTTAAAAATAATAATGAAATTTTATAGTCCTTTGGTGCTTCACTAAGTGCTTTTGAGTCTAATATTTTATTTGAACAGAGCCAATATCTTTAGTTTTTATCAGTGAAAAAATTCATGCATAGAATCATTAAGTACCTGAACAAAGTCACTAGGTTAGTAATTACTGAATTGTTGGAATTCTTATTTAGAAATGATAAGTTTTCTTCCCTTCCTCTATCTCCTTCCTTTCCTCCTTCTCCTTTTTCTTCTAGCTCAGATTTAAAATGTTTCCCTATAGTAAATAGGCACTTTTACATTTCACTCAATCTAATAGTTATTTAATCTTTATTATAGCTGGTACTTGCTATGTGCTGGATACTTTTTTTTTTTAATCTTTATTGTTCAGATTATTACAGTTCCTCCCCCCCCCCCCCCCCCCATACCTTCCCTCCACCTGGTTCCCATACCCTACCTTTAACACCCTCCCCACTGTCCTTTTCCATAGGTGTATGGTTTTTATCCAGTCTTTTCCCTCACCTCTCTCAACCCTTTTCCCCAAGGACTGTCAGTTCACTCCCTTTCTATGCCCCTGATTCTATGATATTCACCAGTTTATTCTGTTCATCAGATTTTTTTATTCACTTGATTTTTAGATTCACTTGTTGAAAGATATGTAGTTGTTCATAATTTTTATCTTTACCTTTTTCTTCTTCCTCTTCTTAAAGTATACCTTTTAGCAGCTGTGCGCGCGCGCGCACACACACACACACACACACACACACACACACACACACACGCACTTTCCCTCTCTCTCTCTCTCTCTCACACACACACACACACACACACACACACACACACACACTCCTTGTTTAGGGAACCCTAGTGTTTTCTACTGGGCGATAAGTCTGCCTGACTTTTGAAGGAGGCTGTTTTTGTTACACTAGATACTACTTCTTAACTTCTAAGGGGAGACACTACATATTCCACTAAACACACATCTTTGAGAGAAAGTCTGAAACAAAGGCAGACAGTGCCTCTGCTCCTAGGTCTGCAGAAGTGAGACCAAGCCATGGAGAATTGTCACTTAAGATTAGTATAGGTATTTTTTTTTTCTTGAAGTGTTTGTTTTGTCTCACATACTATGTTTTCACGGGCTATTTAAATACCTTTGATGTATAGGTACAATCTTTCAAAATGCTAATGCTCTCATTCAGGTTTTAGTTAAGTCTAATAGCCCTAGAAACCATTATGGCTCTTTTTTCAATTTTGCTTTAAAGTTTCTGGAGCATATTTAACTATAGAGAAGTAAGACCTCATGCATCAATGAGTTTATTATCAAAGATTTATGACATTTTTTTAAAAAAAATATATTTTATTGATTTTTTTACAGAGAGGAAGAGAGAGGGATAGAGAGCTAGAAACGTCGATGAGAGAGAAACATCGACCAGCTGCCTCTTGCACACCCCCTACCAGGGATGTGCCCGCAACCAATGTACATGCCCTTGACCGGAATCGAACCCAGGACCTTTCAGTCCGCAGACCGACGCTCTACCACTGAGCCAAACTGGTTTCGTCAGATTTATGACATTTAATGCAAAGAAAACAATCTATGTAATGAACACCTGAGAAACAACTTATAGAAAGGAAACCCCATTTCTATCCACATGTCTTCATCCTAGAGGTTATCATTGCCTTGGATTTTGGTTGCTTAGACTTCCTATGCTTTTTTGATAGTTCTACTACTTATTTTTCTTCTGCCAGTGGATATTTCAGATGTTTCCATAACTGTGTTGTTATTAGGCATACTGCTAGTACAAACTTTCTTGTACCCAGCTGTTCATGCACAAGAGGTTTATCTTAGGGAATATAGGAATGGGCTTTTGAGGTTGATGTGCTACAAAGGATTCTGGGGTAAATTAGTCTTTAGGATTCATGTGTTATATGAGTACAAGCCATATATATTGAGCATTTGAAAGATTATGGAAATAGCCGTGGTTGTTCCTTTACAAACTAATTTTAGCTACATGTTCTTATATAATAGCCTTGTTACTGAGTAATACAATTTTCTGTGTCACTTCTTCTTTTTCAGTTTTACTTGTGGCCAGTATCTCCTAGTTTGTAGTTGGTTTTCATTTTCTATATGGGTTTGGTGAACAGTCTAAATTTTAATGCAATTGAATTTATTCTTTTCCTGGTGGTGTTTACATAAATGCCTCCCAATCCTTGTTTTAAAGATTTTCTCCCTATTTTATACTAACAATTTTAGTTTTGTCTCTAACCCATCTTAAACTGATTTCTGTGATAGGAATCAAATTTTAGCCGAAACCGGTTTGGCTCAGTGGATAGAGCGTCGGCTTGGGGACTGAAAGGTCCCAGGTTCGA